GCTGTCACGCACGAGCGGCTGCGGCCTGCGGCTAGAGCAGAGTAGCAGACTAGATCAACCAAGTAAATTTCTTCTTTACTAAGCTGCTCATTTGAAATTAGTTTTACTGATTGTTCACATTATAATTTAAAGATCAGTTGTACATTGTAGGATCTATGCTTGATTGCTTGTTCAAGCAAATAATTAAATATTTGTGACATGGTTCTGTGTATTTTTTTTCAATTTTTTTTGTAAAAACAGCTAAATGTCTTAGCCGCAGCTATAGCCCGCTATAGCTGCCCTTAGCTGTTGGCGAGGACAGCAGCTAAGAGGCTTAGCCGGCTATTTAAAACCTTGGTTATGACACAAGAGACATGCCGTGTGGAAAGGGAGGGGGTTGATAAGGATGAGAAGAAGGAAGATGAAGACAAGAAGAAGAAGAATGTAGCATTCAAGGCAAGCTCATCATCCAAGAGCAAGGGCAAGTCAAAGAAAGAAGAATCAAGTGATGACGAAGATGCTAGTGACATTGATGATGAGGCCATGGCTCTCTTTGTGCGCAAGTTTGGAAGATTCATGAAGAAGAAGAGCTATGGTGCAAGAAAGAGAATAGACAACAACAAGAGCAAAGATTATGTGAGAAGATGCTATAAGTGCAAGAGCAAGGATCACGTTGTAGCGGATTGTCCCCACAATAGTGACAATGATGAAGATGAGAAGAAGAAGGAGAAGAAGGAGAAGAAGATGATCTTCCAAAAGAAGAAGAAGGGTGGTGGCTATGTAGTGACATGGGATAGTGATGCATCATCGGAGGATAGTGGCTCTAGTGATGATGACAAGAATTCCAAGAAGAAGGCACTTGCAAGCATAGCCATCAACAACATGCCTTCTCTCTTCGACACTTCATCGACATGCCTCATGGCAAAGCCCACCAAGGTAAAATATGATGAAAGTGACGATGATTGTGAAAGTGATGATTGTAGGAGTGATGATAAGAAAGACTCAAGGAGGAGCTCATGGACATGTTGGAGCAAGCTCACACATGTCTTGAGATGAAGAGAAAGGAGTGCAAAGAATTACGGAAAGAGCTCAAAGCTCTCAAGCAATCCCTTGATGAGCTCAATGCTTCTCATGAGAGTCTAAGGGAAGACCATGAGGAGCTTGGCAAGGCTCACTCCAAACTTGAAAAAGCTCACTCCTCTCTCCTCGAGCAAGTCAAGAAGGAGGAAGCCAAGAAGGAAGTGATTGTGTCATGTGATGTGGGACTAACATGTGATATTATTGATGAATCTTTTTATAAGCCCATCATTGTTGCTTCCACTAACCCCTTTTGTAGCACTTCCACTCCTACTTCACCTTTAAGTGATGGGTTCACTTATGATCAATATGTTCATCATATTAAAAAATTTCCGCAGATAGATCACACGTATATATACATGTCATAAATCTTCTGTTATTTTTTTGATTAAATTATACCTAAATATGACTAAATATCTAACAAATGAGCCCATGGCCATGCAGACAACGGCGTCAAGGGCGAGGAATGGCGAAGACTGGCAGGTTGCTAGCGAGGTCGGTTGGGCAGACGCCATCTCTGTTTGCAGTTAGCTGACGTGTGGTGGGAACCAAGGGTGTGATTGGTTTCTTTGCCAAGCTCGCCTTACCTCGCCTAGCCTTGCCAGACTAGACGAGCCATTTTCACTCTCCTGTGCTAGCAAGGAAATCCATTCCCACACAGATCTTGAGGCACGTTAGCTTGAGATCAAACAAGCAACTTCCGTCCATATCCTCACTCGGCAAGGCTATACAGTGGTGAGCGAAGGATCCAAGCACGTCCCCAATCTAGCTCACCCTTGCTTGCAAGGCTAGGCTTGCTCTAGCTGGCAAGATAAGGCAAAGCTTGCATGGGAAGTTGGGAACCAAACTGACCCCAAGACCCAAGTTCACAAAGTTGAACAAGCTAGAGTGGCTAGCTGGCTGTCGCGGGGGACGGAGAGCCTTTGCGAGAAGGATTCAGAAAAAGGAGAAGGCAAACAAAAATGCTATACAACACACGTGTGTTTTAGCATAAAAAAACACATGAATTTTCTCTCTCTCTCTCCCTCTCTCTTTTCAACTGTGGGCAGCCATGGTCCGTCAGTCTGCTATGTCGCGTCTGTTGCGGTCGTGTCGTGGTCCGTCAGTCTGCTGCGTTGCGTCTGCTGCAGTCGCGTCTGCTGCGGTCGTGACCTCTCGCTCCGATCAGACCTGGACGTGATTTGTCCTCTTGTCCTTGCATAGAAAAAAATTGTTTCTTATGATATGTAGATATGTGATCTTGTGATTTGTGATTGTCTGGATGTAGAAGAAGGCTGAAGGTAGAAGGAGGACGGAGGTTGTTGGATCTTAATCCTATAGTATCAAAAAATTTATGTGTTGAAACTGTATAAAACACATGGTTGTTGGGTAGTCAGACTCGAAGGCAAAACCTAGTAGAGGCGGAGGAGCAAGTTTGAAGAGGAGCCACACCGGCCATGATATATCAAGATATATAACATTATAACAATACCTCAATTTGTTAAGTGGCCTGACCCCAGATACGTAAGTAGGTATAGTATATTCGTTCTATGGCCCCAAAGCTAGAGCCCAGCAAGCTAGAAAGGCATGTACGTGGCTGCCAATTTGTCTTGCCTCACGCCGATTCAGCTAATTGGCTTCCGCGATCGGCGACTCCGCTGCTCACGCACTTCCGTCGTGCGGCGACGATCGCCTTTCTTCCCCACTGCGACCTGCGACTCTGTGAGATCTACAGGCGTGCTGCGTGGTGGTGCGTCGAGCATCGCGTGCTCATGGCAACAACTAGAACCAGCGACCGTCACGCGCCCACTCTTAGTTCCCGGTCTGCGTGCGACGTCGGGACACAACGCAGGTAAGAAATTGCCCCTAAGCCCCTTGATTGTGCTTGTGTATGTATGTCAAGTATATATTCTTTAGATTTGGGATTTAGGAATCCCTTACGGTGCAGCACGCATGTTTAGTACCACATTGAATTTTCTGAAATTCCGAAACTAAATTGAGTATTGTATAATTTTCTTAAATTACTTTCTAATTTCTAAATTTATAGTAAACTCATGTTGCCCAAAAAACATGCATGTGGAAGTAAGAAAACAAAAAAGAAGAAAGGGATAGAAGACTTCGTACAATCACAAGAAGAAAAAAATCATATATTATACTTATTTGAAACATCGTTATATTATTAGAGTTATATTAAAGGCGGGTCTATTTTTCTAGCTCCGCTCTAGGTCACTAGATTCACAGGACCGGGCCTGAAGGCACTCAGTCATGCAGGTGCTCCTCACTCCTCGTAGAGTTTGGCCAGCTGCTCTCTGCCTCTCTCTTCCACCTAATTTATTGCCCTCTGTCGGGCTCGCTGTCTCAACCTGGTATTCAGCCTGTTCACTTGCTCGTAAACGATCGTAAATTTCCAGCTGGAAACAGTGTTTTTCTCTCACACCAAACCAGCCAGCAGTAAATAATCCACGATACGATACGACCTCCCGAACACGCTGATTGTCTGCATGACTTGCTGTTGCTGGCCGGCCGCCACCTGCGCGCTGAGGACACTGCTCTGCACCGGCCGGGCCGTACCCCGTGCACGAGTAGAGAAACCACTTCTAAATTTGGTTTTAGTTCCGGTATTTTTCACGCTCGGGACTAGAGAAACTTTTAGTATTGGTTGGTAGCTTTAACCGGGACTAAAGGCCCTGCCCAACAGCTACTGTGGTAGGCTTTTGTTGCAGGGGACCTTTAGTCTCGATTGGAGCTACCAACCGGGACTAAAGGTTAACTTTTACTCCCGGCTGGTCCCTCCAACCGGGAGTAAAAGTCTACTCCCGACTGGAGGCTCCGTCCGAGACTAGAAAGGGACCTTTAGTCCCGGTTATTGTCTCCAACCAGGACTAAATGTCTCCAACCGATTGAGCTCTGTGGAGTGCCGGCCGCGTGACGGCTCAGAGCGAGTATTATTATTAACTAGTCACCCACAGTAGTGTTGTTGATCGAGAGGCGCGTGTGTATGTTCTTTCCCGCGGCCGGCTGGGAGCGAGCTGGGCGTATGTGTACAGGAGCGAGTCGATCGAGACACTAGTACGTAGGAGTAGCTACTACGCTAGCTAGCTAGCTAGCTGTTCGCCGTCGGTACGTGTAAGCCAACAAAACAGTCTGTCTCTCTGCTAGCTAGCTGCTACACTAGTACGTAAGAGTAAGCCACCGTCAGACACATGCATGCATGGGTCCGATGTAACTGAACATGACCAAATCAATTAGTCTCGGCTAGTATTACGAGCTGTAACAGCCGGGACTAAAGGTCTTTTAGTACGGGGCGTTTATAGGAGCCTCGATAGGCCGGCTCGACCTGAAGCCCACACATAGGAGAGAACATATACCATAATGGAGCGGCCCAGTACGCAATATGCTGGAATTGCTGGCCAGTCCCACCTATTAGCACCACCTCGCTTGCTCAGAAGAGTGAAAGCTAGCTTAAAAGCTTAGCTCTCGAACTATGCAGCACGAACTTGAACAGAATCTGCTCTATAGGATTGTACCGCTGATCCTTGACTAAAGATCCTTCGTACTATAGTTTATACAAAATGTTGAACATTATAAACGTACGTATATTCTAGCAGCGTAGAATGCGTATTCAAAAACCAAAACGAATCATCAATTAAAAATAGGAAAAAAATAGAAATAGAAACAAAAAAAGAAGTTCGGTAGCAGCGTGAAAATAGAAAAAAAAAGAAAAATAGAAATAGAAATAAAAAAAAAAAAAAAACCTTCAATCCTGGCCGGTATTATCAACCGACCCCGATTGGTATTATCAATCGGGACTAAAGGTTTTAGTCTCGGGTGCGAAACCGAGACTAAAGGAGGGGCCCTTTAATCTCAGATTCGTACTCCCGGTCAGAAGTACATCCAGTTTCTCTACTAGTGGTGGCTTCAACGTCACCCGTCGGCAACATCACTTGTCATATACACTACTCGTTTTAGGCAGGCAGTTCATGGCGGCAGAGAGGACACATGTTGCTGATCGCCAACCACTTGGAGATGCAGTCCGGGTGGAACTTGTGCACGCGAGATGAACATGGCATCACGGTGACCTGCACACCATCCACAAACTCCTCGAAGCAGATGCCACACTCCGTGATGCCGTCGTCTTCCCCTCCGGCGGCGCGGAACGTTTGTTTCTCCAGGCTACGCACCGCGGCGGCGGACGCAGGGACCGCGCCGAAGCCGCAGTTGCGGTAGGGCTCGTCGATGTCGTAGATCTGAACAATGCGTGCAGCGTGCTGGGCGGCCTCAAGCACCATAGGAGGAAAGGCCTCAGGAATTTCGTCCTCCTCGTAGCCACTTTCTTCTAATAAGTTGAGTAGATGCATACGGATCCTGTGACGGAACGCGTCGAACAGCGCGGGGTCACCCGAGAAGTCGCCGCCGCCGCGCACGTCGTCGTCAAGAACCCACACCGCGTGGCGGAGGTCGGCGTCGACCAGACCGAGAGCCAGCCGTGCCAAGTCTGGCTGCCCTCGGTGGCGCAAAACCGTCGCCGCTTCGCGTAGCTGAGCTCGAAGTTCAACGTCGGCGGCCGACGACGGACCGTTCACGGCCGCGGCGACCACCAGCTCACCGTCCTCCAACTCGATGCTCTCGTCGGCCATGGTTGAAAAAGGCCAGAGGCTATAGATGGTGTTGCGTGGGTGGATCGTGGACGGCGGTGGTCAGCACTCTGGCGAATATATATAGCGTTGTTCTAGGTTGCCCCTCTTGGCTGTTCACGCGAGGCGGAGCTGGCCGTTGCCCCGTATCCGCATAGATGTCGAGTTGGTTTACGAAAAGGAATTGAGCACCCGACAACCCATGCAACATGCATGCAGTTTATTCGAAGTCCGAACTACCCTTTGGCTAGTTCCGGGAGTGCATCGGAAGATGGATGACGTTCGTTGCTTCTAGGTTCTAGCACAAGCAATCAAAACTGATCACGTGCCTCGGGGACCCACCATGCTGTTATTTTCTATAAAAAAAGTTAATTTACCTCTCTCAACTATAGCGATTCTCTGATTTTTCTCTAAAACTATAAAACCATTTTTTTAACCTCTCTCAACCCTTTAAAACCATTTGTTTATGCACCTTGGGTGTGTGATTTTGCTAATGTGGTGTCACGTTAGAAGGGGTAAAATCGAACTAAAATAAAAGTTCAAGAGGTATATCAAACTCCAAATATATTTTTAAAAATATATAAAAAATCGTAAAAATAAATTTTCCAAAAAATCATTCAACTATTTTTATATGAAAAAATAACGTAGTTCAAAATTTATTCCAAAAATAATGCAGTTCAAGAGGCTCTAACTTGACACATCAAGTTCTGAGGAACTCTAACACCATGTGTTTCTGGATAGCGATAGGCAGGGGCGGAGCTACAGGGTATGCCAGGAATGCACTGGCATACCCTGCAGATCCAGCAATAGCTTTTATGTATATACGTCTGTATTTGTAAAAAAACAAAAAAGACCGTATCTGCACCATGGAAAACGAACGCAGCAGCTGCTCCTTGCCGAGAGATGATGGACTTTCCTGGTTTCCAGGCCCACGCGGCCATACGGACGGGAAGCCCAGGTCTTGCCCACGCGGCCATAAGGACGCCAGGCGAAAATTCGGAAAGTCAAGGTCCAGTCCTTAGAACGTGCAGTTCCTGATCGCCGACGCCGGACTTCCTATTGATCTACTAGTATCGCAAATTAGAGTCTCGCCTGCTGGCCGTCGTCTCGAGGCTTGAATCTTCACGGCGCCGACTGCCGAGTACGTGACATGGAGGATCGGCATGATGCGCGTGCACGATTAACGTGCATATATAGTCCGACCGCCTGAGCCACCGCGGTGAGAATCAATCTCTTTTTTTACTATTCGTCTTTCTATAGAAAGATCATGTTTATATCCATGGCTAATATTATCCGGTCATCAATAATATGCAGTGAGGTCGGAGATTTGCTCAACATCAGAGACAACCGAAATTGATCAACAATTTAGTATCATGTGAATGTTTGTGTCATCACATATGAGGATTGAGGATTCAATCCGTGCACTTGCAATTTGTTTAATTGTTTGGTATTGTGTTTTTAATAATTGTGTAGTTATCAAGAGAGATGGAGATATTGCATCCCTTTTTAATAATTGGCTGGAAGAAGGTGATATCATCAACACATTCATGCCCATAGAAAGCATCGGCTAAAAAAATCAGATAAGTAGTATTGTAAGTCTCTTACTCTCTTTTATGCATATATTTGAAGCTATCATTATGATGCCTGAACTATTCATATTGTAATGTTGTGGATGTTTTTCAACTTAATCTTCAAATTTAAAATTTATCGTGTTATTTAGTATATATATACCGAATTACATTGCAAATTTCATAATTATTACCGAATTGTCAAATGATTTTATTGATTTATATATATAATTTTCTTGACGGCATACCCGAATCTAAAATCCTAGATTCGCCACTAGCGATAGGGATGTTGAGTCTTCTCGTACACCGTGGCATCATCCCCGTCTGGATAGTAGAGAACCGAGTGAGGGATCCTTGCCATCCTCACATATGGCTCAACTAGGTGCTAGAAGTTGATATACCGAGCACGAGTGTACCAAAGTTCTGACTCCAAGCAACGGATCATGTGCATCTGGCACTTGACCAACTCAGTCATCCTTCTTTCATAAAGAGAGCGGGGCTCCGTTAGCATCGGAAGTCGGAATACTCCATTCACCTCTGTCCTTATTGGGAAATGCTGGAATGGCGGCTTGCTGAGGATATAAAGCTCTTCCCTCAACATGGCAATAGCATAATATGCTGCAACTTGGATTGCCATATTGAAGGAGGTGCCTTTTTCCCCAAACATCGCTCTCAACTTCCTCATCCGGGTTGCAAAGGCGACTCCCAAATATGGACTTTGGCCATATAATCCACCATCCCATGTCCGACTCCTTTGGCATACACCGCGTACTCTGGGCGATAGGTGTAATTGGCTCTCCATATGACCTCATTGACCAAGGCCGGGAATCCTTCGATGTTCGCACCATGAGTTGCCATCACCAAACATCCCGCATCCATCTAGTGATATAAGATAAGGCAAGTTAGAACAATCTTGTATTGCAAAACTCAACTCGTGCAGAAGTGACTAAGAGTAGCTCTAAGATAGATAAGAGTTAAGTAACAATAGCAAGTGACAACCTTAGCACTCAAATTCACATTTATTCCGAAAACATTTCTGGCTTAGTGAGTCAATATTGTAGTTGCCTAAACCCCAACCTCAGGCAGAAGTTGGCTCTCGATCATCTTTAGCTTGCTCGATACTCGTCCGCCAGTGCGGTGCGGCTGTCAGGATCAATGCCCTCTTAAGTGAGTACCCAAGATGATAGTCCACAGGGGCTATTAAATTGGATACATCCCTTAATCGGTCATCCCAATACACCTCCCATAAGATGTACTACACACCAACCTTCATCTAGGATCAGCCAAAGAGAGAGAGTACATCACGACCATGCATAGGTTACGTTACAAGTTCAAGTACTTATATTTACAAACCATGGTTCACAAACTTAGTTTATAACACAAGTCACACATCACATTCTACCATCGAAGTTCTAGTGGAAGTCTTTCAACATAACATTATTTATGATAACTGATGTATGGGTGTGCCCCATCCACACATCTACAAAACATGAACTCCTTCACCACTCCTGATCCGGCGGGAACTCGGGAGCGTAGAAGAAACCATGTACAGGAGCTACGATACCTGCAAAACTCAAGATCATACAGGGTGAGTACTCAAATGTACTCCGTATGACTTACCCAATATAATAAACAAGGATTATGCATTTGGGTAGTAGCAAGGAATACTTGGTTTTGGATAAAAGCATTTGGAATCATAAATAACAAGTGAGTCCTAAGACTTAGCATTGCAAGCATAGCATAGGTAAAAGAATTGGGCAATTAGCAAGTTGGAACTCGATCTCCCACGAGTCCTAAAATTCAAACCAACTCTAGTCCACATCTAGAAGTTAGAATTTATTGCCTTCAAATAAACACTCTGCAGAGGGGTACAAGTTAACCCCGCCAGAAACAAGGGATATCACCCATAATACCCATCGGTACAAAAGGGATACCTCGATGTCTCAACCTTTACCTAATCTGGCCAAGATGTTTACAAAAGGTTCGACTGGTTCCCAGTTAATGCCACCACCATCTAACTGGCACCACCTTCTTGCCAGTTTTGCAAATAAAACGGTCGCAACTAGTTACTTGGCCTGTCACTCCCATAAATGACAAGTGGTCTATACAATTTTATGTTCGTAACTCACTACCATGGATACACGGTCCTTAATCGGTTAGCGAGCTATATGCCATTCAAGAATCACCCTCTTCTTGCCATGACCCAACCCCTCGCCGACCATTCAACATCAAATTTTCATCATTGGTCAAGTTTTAGACCATTCTCCATTAATGTTACTTAGTGTACAAACATGCCTAACATCGCGCGAGTAATGAGAAACCCATCATTAGCTCGACTCTAAGATCTAAGCATACTAAGCATGAATTAATAAAGGAATTCAAGCAACGGTTGAGTGTTGTGGCATCATCAAGATGTGATAGCTCAAATAGGTAACTCTGGTTGATCTAGTCATATCAGAACATATTGATGCAATAGATAACCATAGTTCATTATGCATTCAACAAAGCATAGGGATGCATAGGGGCCTACCTTGGGCATCGTCATTGGGATCCTCGGGTTCCACCGCTGTATGTATGATGCTCGGGTTCAACAAAGCATAGGGATGCATACGGGCTCCTCGTGATTCTCGTCACCTATGTATCTATGATGCTGGACGAGTACAATGCATAAAGCAAATGCTAGATGCCATGAGATGTTATGCAATGATATTTACTTGGTTAGTAATTGATAATATATAATAAGTGTTTAAGTGTAGTACTATTGGGCTGTCGGACTGAGTCATCAGATAGTTTGGTGGAAGTGTCGGACCATCCGCTGGTTCAGTGACTTAGTGAAAATAGGGCACTGGACTCAATGGACCCTCCGCGGCAAAGCACGGACTCTCCGGTACCAAACCTGTGTCCTCGGGAAACTGGGCTATTCTTGGCTATAAATCATCGGAACGTTCCGTCTAGGTGACGGACCATCCGTCAGATTAGGTCTGTAGGGTATCTGTTCTACTTAGTGTTTAGGTTCATCAGAACATTCCGCCATAGTTGACGGAGTCTCTGCCATGAACTGGTCAGACTCAGATTTTCTATCAACTCAGGTTTATAATTCAGCGGACACTCCGGTGTCGCGGTCGGACACTCTCCGCCAGATTCAACATACTCTCCATTGAATTATAACATGCCCTGATCAGGTGTAGACAGAAAGCTTCAGGATTCGACGGACACTCCGCTAGTGAGGTCGGACCCTCTGATCCGTCAAATCACTGACAGTGAACAATTCTAGCAACTCGAAATCCAAATCTTCATCTAGACTTCTTGCATGTGCAAACCATCACTAGGGTAGGTTATAGTGTACTATGGAGTATCTCTAACTAGGTGAATCTAGCTACATTGGGTGCAAACTAGACTTAGGTCACAAATTGTCATTTCCTATGTTTTGGTTCA